TAAACATCTATGCTAACCTTAAATGTCCATCTTCCACACTGACATTCATTCTTTGGAACTTCTTAGTTGGCTCTTATGTGGCCCATTATTAGATAAGCCAGATTCTCTTTTCAAGTAGCCAAAATGTTGTCACAATTTAGCAGATGTTCTTCACTAGCCGTCTATCAGCTATTTTCAAAAGATAGTGCCTTAGAAATCATATTTCCTGTTTTTCTCCACATCTTCATTACTTCATTTTTCATGTTCTTATTTCATGATTGTGGCTTAACGGCTTCTTTAATTATAAACTACGGAGATTCCCTGTCTGCCACCCTTAGATGACAGAAGTAATCTTCCACTATTATCCTCACGTTCCAGATCTTTTTGAACTCCACACTCCATTTTCTAGATATTCTACTCAGTTGGAGTTGGATCCTGTCTTATGATGTCTTGATTTCCTCCTCCTTTTGAATCTTCAAATACTTACTACTCTATCTTTCACTTTACAGCTAGGAGAAGATCTGACATTTAGATCTTTGATGCTTCTCATACTCTTTATGTTTCGAAGAAGGCTATATACTTACATTCTAATAGAGCTTTCCTACAAGGGCTTTTGCTGTGAGAGAAGTTGACTATTGTTTTTCACCAGTTATGTTACCTATCCTGACTGACCTAAATTATCATTCATTAGAATGGTTTCTATATTCTGTTAGGACCATTCATTGCTATATTGCATGAAAGGAACATTCCAGAGGGAGTTGAAATAGGTTGTGTAAATCTCATGACGAATTTCACTTGAAGAATCTTGATCGATTCACATTAACGATTAGACTTCTAAATCTGATCTAACGGGGCTATTAATATGTATATGAACACCTATGCCCCCAGTAGCACAGCGGTATGTCTGCGGACTTACAACGCTACAATCCGGGTTTCAATACCCGTGGTGGGTAGAGCACAGATAGCCCATTGTGTAGCTTTGTGCTTAACTTAAAACAAACAAACAAAATGAACACCTATAGAGTTAATTTCATGTTGCATCTCATCAAGTTCACCATTTGAAAATGTATTTCGCTTTTTTGGTCTTACATACTGGCATGTGGATGTATCGAAATACTTTTGTTTAATCTGATCTTTATCAGATTTTTGTTTCTTCTGGTTAATGATTCTATATGTCATATCTGGTTATTCTCCTATCCAGAACTAATTCATAGCAGACGAGGTATTTTCTATTCAATGCTTACTTAATACTTGGGACAACCATATTCTGTGCATAGTGACATAAGCATTTTCTTTCATACCCTACACTCACTTATACCAATTTAAAGGATGTTTGGAATCTGAATTATTTAAAAATACATACAGTTTCTCATTTTCTTCATATCAAGACAAAATCACACCCTTTGCACTTATGCTCCATGAAATGGACAGAAGCAGGTGCCATCCGGTGGCTGATGATGCCTTGGTAAATATCTTTAATACCTTTTCAAGCACAAGTCATTACGTAGCATTAGATATTGAGGCAGGATGTCCATTCTCAGTAGATTTCTTAACTATAACCAGGATGAGAGCTGTCTATGTCAGTGTGTCTTAACCTTTTTGAATCCACTGAACTCTTCTGGCGACAAATGTGTGTCACGAAACCCTTCACAGCGTTGTTTACAAAAAACATTACTGTAATACTATATTTATAATTCCAGACAAAGCATAAGCATCTATATACCAACACACACATATACATGCAAAGCATGAAAAATTTCTCGAACCAATTACTTGAACATACACGCACGAGAAACGTGCTCTTTCAAATAATAAATGTTTACATAAGTCAAGCAACTGTTTGTACCTAGTTTCGCTCACTAATTGAAAACAATGCAGTGACTTGTTGTTATGTTGTGTCGTTATGAAATCCGCTATATTAATAAAGAAATATGATGTCATTGGATTGCAACCATGTGACAAGTATGTATTTATGCGTTAGAATATGCGGAACTCTTGCACTCCGCGGAACGCTGCGGAACTCTTGGATGTCTGTCGAGGAACCCCAGTTGAGAAACATTGATCTACGTTGTTGTTTTATTTTGTATGTGTGTTTGTGTGATTTCTCTCTCTGATATCCTAAAGTTTTTTATTCTGATCTTTCAGACACTTTGTGTTTACATTTCATTTTTTCTGAGCTAATTTTGTCAGTTTTGCGTGTCATTGACCTTTTCACATATTGATGTAGAGGAGCTACAAAGTCTGGAATATGTTCATTCATAATATGTGACTAGGCTGCTTCTCTGAGAATCTTCCACAACAAGAGCAGAACACAATATTTCTCCTATATGTTTATACCATTACCTGTGTTCTCATCATCTACTTGTCTAATTTACCCACAATTTGTATGAATGGAGGTCTTCAATGGCAAATGGGTACACTGCTGAGAACATCATTTATTTTTAAGTGTCCTTATGTCCACTCTTTAATTTATAGTGCTTGTTTGCTTCATTCATTCTCCTTTGAATCCAGTTGAATTCCTGTCAGTTGATGAATTAAGGTTTGAATAAAATCATTTAAACTGAACAGTGCTATACAATGGCTAATAATCACAAGCTTGTAAGTTTCACTCAGTACTTACTGGCTACTTATGTAGAGATTTTTGTATGATAATATGAATTCATCACTACTTTGTTTCTGTAGGTTTTGTCATACATTTATCATACTTAATTTTTTGCACATTTTTTTATTACTTGCAAAATTGAGTGTATTGGGATAATATTTTATATCTGGCGCCTTGTAACAAATTCGTGATGATAAAATTATCAATAATATAAAAAGCAAGGAAGAAAACTTTAAAATAATTAACTTTCTGTGTTTATTCTCGAGGTCTAAATCGAATTTATACTTGTGATTTAGTTTATCAGATATAGGATACCAACAAGGTATTCAAGTACACTGATTTACAACAGGTGAGCTATAAATAGTCCATAATAAGCAGCTGGTGCAGTAATTGCTTTGCAAAGAATAAATCAAATACAAACAGAAAAAATCTTCTATTTGTATTTAATGGAAAATATATTAAGACTATCTGCCACAGTCCCGAACTTTGAACTACTGACCAGAGGGAAGACAGCAAGTGAGTAGAAGAACTTTATCTCTAACTATCCGCCATGAAGTATTGACAGCCAATCTTATAATTTAAAGTGCAGGAAATATTTTGTTATATCGCACGTATTTGAACCAACTCACTCGTTCCGAAAGGTAGAATAAGAAAGTGACTCACGTATGTGTTTAAAACAAAGAATAATGGAAATGTTTATTCTCAAAAACAAAGAAAGAAATGTATTCTTACTAAAGTAGTCAGCTTTTGTGCTGTAGCTACAAATAAAAATGTTTACAATAGAAAAATAAAGTAAGAATAATGACATATTGTAGTGTTAAGTCAGAGTCCCATTTCATAGTGTGACATCACACAATTTTAGTTTACTTACATCAATAATCAATCTAATTATAGACTTCAAGTGAAATCAACCTTTGTAGTACAAGCATTTCTACCATCCCTTAATCCTGTACCCCATGGGAATAACTGCAGTAAAACAGGATCAAGCGAGTGTGAGTGTTTACACAATACAGAGCTATCATTGTTGTCTACAACATTTGTCTGAAATAGAGGAGTAGCAGAGGTTCACGACTTCTATATCCTATTTACAAAGACACCAACTATCTATGTGCAGAACATCATCTCAAAATGCTTCAAAATTGCCTCATTATATGTGAATAAAGGCACCCTATTTTCTAGCTATGGAAAATCAGTTATCTTAGTAGTGACAGTGATCAGTATGGCATGTTTTACATAATGTTTAATTACATGACATCCAAAAAGTAATGAAACTAAATAAATGAGTAACAGAAGTACAAGTAGAATTAATCTTAATATAAAAATTGTTGCACTCTAAAACAAAATAAGAAACAATTTTGTCCAAAACTGGGAGATTTCTCAATAGGTTTTTGTAATTATATAAACAAAATCATTGAGTGAAATAAGGATATTTCATTCCATATAGTATGTTACAATACACTAGAAGAAATTTCAATATAAATTGTGAATATATGAAACATGAATGTCTTTTTAAATTGATTTGTCTACTCAAAAACAAACTATAATACATATTATTGTAGTATATGAACATACCATGAGTTTCAATCTTCTTGTAACATGATTATATTTATTAATAATTATTTTGTTCTGTATATACTCAGGTTTCACATAACATGTGATCGAAAGAGCCATTAGATCTACTTTTATTCCTTCTTCTTAAGTGTAAAATACCTTTTCTACCCAGGAAAAATATTATTATCAATTATTACTGTAATAATGCAAATTGTGTAAGGATTTTGACAGCAGTGTCATTCAATGGTTGTTCAAGTGGTATCATGAGGTTACAGCCTCACTACGTTGTAATGAGAATGACCAGCACGTGAGGAGCTCTAGTCACTCTAGATAAATACGACGTTTCTTGGGAATTATGGAAAGTTAATTCAGTTGTAGGTATTATATTGTCAATTTTTCATCATGATTTTATCCAGAAACTATTTTGTGCATTAAAATTAATTCAATGTAATGTTCACAAATCATAATGAAAAGGGGGTTCAGAAGTTTTTCATTATAGATTGCTCATTTATGACTTGGAAACAAGTAACTTTGATCATTTAGATTAAAAATGTAAAGAATGTAATTCAATACTTCAACTGGAAACAAAACGTTCAAGAAATTTAAAATGTACTTACAATATTTAATAACATGTAATTTCATGTTATAATTTCTGTGAAATATAGATAATTAATTGGAATTATAATTACAACAACAAAATGTCTGGATAAAAAATCGCTCACGAATATAGTTTATATTGTTATACAACATTTAATTATTATTGAAATATTTGTACATGGATATTTTGACGCTAGGTGTCATGTGTTGATAGACTATATAAGAGCTTTTCTCACATTTTATCATTCCTTTCTTATGACGTATTCGTTGTCAAGGATTTATCACGAGTGGTTGTACACAGTTGCACCCTCTAGCTTTTACTCGCAATATAAACCAACAGAAATAAGGATCGCCAATAATTGTGTTTATCATCAGTTCTCACCTAGTTGCTGAAATTTACGATTTTCAAGTTTTATCCGAGAAAAACGACTCCAATAGGTATTTACATCACAGATATGTCCATATCATATATTTCGATTTCTAAAGACGCTCCAGATATTGAGGTAAGCAAGAAGATTTTTTTTTATTCCCTTTAGTTAAAGCGAGTACAATATGTAGTATTTAATTTAAATTAATGCACAGGTCATATGAATTTGTTTGAGTTAATAACATTTGAAAATACCCATTTGAATTAAATTATGCATTGAGGGTCTGCTTTCATTTTTTCCGTAAGCTTAATTTAATTTTCAGACTCACTTTAGACTAATGAAAAGAAATATCCCTGGGTGGCTTAGCTGTAAGTCTACGGGTTTATAACGCTAAAAATCAGATTTTGATAATTGCGGTGGGCGTAGCTCTTGTGAAGCTTTGACCGTAATAACAAACTATTGAAAAAGGTGTATAAGATGTAAATACACTTTCCTTAAGTACCAAAATTTGTCCACTAGCACTGAAGAAACTTCTCACAGTTCGTTTCGTGTTAGTTCAGTTGCATTAGCAGATACGTATAACGGATGTTTATTAAAAGTCTTTGTTTGTTTGTTTTTGAAGTTAAGCACAAAGCTACACAATGGGCTATCTGTGCTCTGCCCACCACGGGTTTCGAAACCCGCATTCTAGCGTTGTAAATCCGTAGACATACCGCTGTGTTACTGGGGGCTATTAAAAGTGTAACATCTACATTGAAAAAAAAATTAACGATCCTCGCTCATGCGATCCTTAAGAATAAACACACGGGTCACGTGAATTAATACTGCTTTGTTAATGTTAATTTTAATAACAAAAATAAATTTGATATTAATAAAAAATATTCAAATAGTAGAAGTAGAGTACTATGTTTTATTCGTGCTTTTCGTGAATTTGTTTCGAAAATCCTGTAACTTCTTAACCTTTGTTCTCTGACTACGATGTATAGCGCCACCACCATTATCAGTAAGAGGTGATAAAAATACGTCCTCTGATATTACATGTAAATACAACCTTTATCGCCCTATCTTCACAAACATTCTGCACCGAAGTAAAATGTTCAGACATTAAATGAAATGCGAAAAAATATACTAAAATTCTGTAAGAATGGATGTGAGAATCCTCTAATTTTAGGTCTAGATATTTTGGACTCTCTAATAAGTTTCTGTAAGTGGCATGTTTTTAAATAGCTTAAACAGTACAAAGTTATACATTTTAATTTATCAGAAAAAAAAACGATTAGAGATAAAATCTCTGCAGTCTTACTGACATTTAGGTAGTCGTGTGTGAAACGTAGGAATATCATACGTTCCATACCTGCTTTTGTTATATAGGATTTTTCATAATTTTTCATTTATTTAGATTGTATGCAGTTTTAGTGTAAACACGTGGTCCATAAAATCGTTCAAATTGTCTTGCTCTAGTTGCTTTGTTTATGTGTTCTCAGTAGTAAATAATATATATTCTGCCCGATAGAATACCCTGTAATATCCATTGCTGTCTGAATCGACAACGTCTGTATACTATAGCTAACCAATGGTGTGGAAGAACGAAGATCAGGAGATGACGCTGTCGACTGGATAACGAAACCAAACGTACCTGTAGAATTCAGAAGCAGTTTTAAAAATTCATTTCTACCTAGAGACCTCAAAACTTGGTTCAGTTTAGAAGTTCAGCATGTTTAGATCAACAGACATCTGTACAGCTAATCACAATCCAGTAGAAGCGACTGTCTTTTCGTGACATCTGTACAGCTAATCACAATCCAATAGAAGCGACTGTCTTTTCGTGCGCACATTTATGTACATTGTGTTTCTTTCTTGTTGCCCCCCAGTGGTACAGCGGTATGTTTGCGGACTTACGACGCTAGAAATCGGGTTTCTATACCCGTGGTGGGCAGCGCACAGAAAGCCCATTGTGTAGCTTTGGGCTTAACTTCAAACAACAACTAAAATCTTTCTTGTTTGTTCCATAATAAAGATGGCGTTCGTGTGGATGAACTGTGATTTATCTCTAGGCTACTAACCTCTAACTGTAGCTTAAGGGTGATGGGAGCAATCTGCTAAAATTATTTCTGAAACGAATTTGCTCTTATTATTGGGTCTGTCTATCTGATACATGATGGGTAACTAGTTTCCACCTGAAAATACCACAGGCGCCTATCTCCCCTAGGCCTTGGAAGAATCCTTCTTAATTTTAGCAGATTGCTTCCCTCACCCTTAAGCTACAGTTAGAGGTTAGTACCCTAGAGATAAATCATAGTTAGCAAAGCATTGGGGGTATGAAAAAGATGTAGGAAATGAAATAATTAACTTTATTCTTTTTTCAAACAAATTATGCTATTTAAACATGTTCACCTCTTACAGCTTAAGTAAGATTTGTTATTTCATCTTCTCACTTGTGGGTACTACTGGATTTTAGTGTTGTAAATCCTTGTTTATTAGTCTTGTCTACGGTTAAAAATAATATATTGAAGACGCTTAATACTCTCGTAGCTCACTCAGCGTTTCTAGTGAATGACTAATAGCGTTGGAATTCTAATGAGAGCACCAATTTTCTATTACTTTTCATTTTTCGTTCCATGTTCTATAAAAACTGAATATATCTTGAAAGCCAGCTAGATGGTAAAGCTGCAAAAAGCGCCACATCAACTTATGACTAACGTCGTGAAAAGAAAATATTTCAAGTCATGATTACTGTAAACTTGCATCGTAACTGATTAAATATATGCAAAAAATTACCTTAAAACTAAATTTGTTTAGAATGATGTATGTGCTAAAACTTGTATATTAGATTGAGCAAATAACTATAATATTCAACATGACATTTTAAAACAAAGTTTTTTAGTTTTGTTCTGTCTGATATTAAATTAGATTCAGCTATATACACAGTATAATGTACATATGTAAGAAGTAGAATGGGGAAGAAACGTACAACGATGCAGCATGTGAATTCAACATAAACATTAAACTAAAGTTTTAGTAGCACTGAAGGAAGGAAGGTTTTAAAGTTTGTCTTATGTTAACTTATAAACAACCAAGACTGGTCACACCTGCTTTGAAACTAAACGAGTATAGATAGATAAGATAAAACTAAATGTACAAGTCTTCACACGTTTAGTTTAATTAATTAAATATTCAAAGCTTCATTTTCTGAAATAACAGAAGGATTGATATATATGTGGAATCAGCTTGTTACTTAAATGTATCACCAATTGACCTATATTTTACATTTAACGCATATTTTAAATATATATATATTGTTGCGTCAGCGAGGTCACGTGAAAGTATCACGCCACGTCCTTCTCGAACCTTCGTGATTTGTCGGGAGACTACTAGATTGGGGGTAGTCTAGTATATATAAGATGGTCACAACGTGACGGCAACAATGTGTAATTGAACTGCGGAGAGAGAATATTGTTGAGCACGTGAGACGTTCGTTGAGAATTATAGCGTTTGTTATAGCGCGACTGTTGAAATTAAGTGTATCGCAAAGTTATATTCAGAAAGAGTAAACCAGTTTTATTTAAGAAAGGTCTTGTGTCGCTAAAGTTTCGTCAGAACGAAGCTACCGAAAATTAACTAACGAACGGAGGCGTAACAATATCATTGTTTAAAAGCAGAACTCGTTCATCAAAAATTATAGATAAGCTACAATTCAAAACGTTAATCTGTATGTTATAAAATACGGTATGATTTGAATGGAATTTTTAATTGGGTGCAGGTATCTTACGTTATTTAATTTTTAGCCAGTTAATTAAAATGTCAATAAGGTTGAGTATGAATAACAGTAGTTTACGCTTTTTCTATTTTGCTGCTTCACTCTAAGTGCTTGGTTAAATTATATTACATGACTCATTATAAAATAGATAAATTGAAATACACAGAGAAACTTGTTGATGCACGGTCATGGATAACTAATGAAGGATGGCGATCAACATGACACAGTTTATTTATACGTTCATAAACTTCTGGAGGTATTTGGCTGCATGAGAGGGCAACTTTAAACGTCGTATCCCTATACCTGCCCTGTATTTTAAAGGAGCTGAACCTCCAAACTGGTAAATTAGTATCTAGGTGTAACTGTGAATTGCAACGAGACTAAAATTAACTATACTCGTATTATTCATTACTAGTCCAATGTATTATAACCCTGCTAAACGACTGACATAAGTAACTCTTACTACGATGTTGTGTGTTGTCAACTTGGCGAGTCTTAGTGGTATTGAACAAAAAGACTCATTAGAGGACAAACAAGACGTAGTTGATGTTATTAAAATCCAGCTCCTCTTCTCATGTACACAGTTTACTGTTGCAAGACTTGTACTTATTACGGAACTCCTCAGTTTAATAACATGGGTGACATTGTTTCATTCGAAAGATTAAGTCTGTGCGCATTCTATGGTTTTATATTGTTATGATAAGTCGTTGCGCAGTAGTGGAAAACAATGTTTTGGGATCATAATGAAAAAAACAACAACAAAAAACAAGTATGATAAAGAAGGTTGATAAATCACAATAAAAAAGCAATAACACCATAGCATTTTCGACATTTCAGTGAAACTGATTTGATGGCCTGGTGGTTAGGGTGTTTGACTCGGAATGTGCGGGTTCGCATACCATCATCAAACATGTTTGCCTTTTCAACCGTGGGGATGTTATAACGTGAATGTCAATCCAGCTATTCGATTAAAGTAGCCCAAGAGTTAGCAGTGGGTGGTGTTGACTACCTGTCTCTAGTCTATCACTTATGAATTAGGGAAGGCTAGCGCAGATAGTCTTGGAGAAATTTTGCACTAAATTCACATTTTCACATTTTGCACATTTCTTTATTATAAGAAAAGGCAAGAACCTACATATCCTGCCTATGTTCCCGATAATGATTATCATTTAATTATCTATATTATCAGTAAACGTATGTGAAGATGGTAGTTTTTTTTTCTGGTATGTTATTAACAAATGTATGTATAACAAATGAGAAATTTTCATACTGACACTGTACTATTTATTTTACTCAGAATATTTTAGCTCTAAATCCGAAGATTCGCCGTCATGCCAGCCTTCTTCCGAGTAGTGAAACAAAAGAAAACAAGAAACTTTGGAAACGAAACCAGGAGAAATACTGCATTGTAAGAAAAAACAACATTTTAATATAATTTTTCCCCCACCTTTTCTGTTGTTTTTTTTTCTAGAGTTTTCGCGACCCTTGTAATTGATAATTAGACTTTTCGAAAAAAGTGTTCGTGATCATTTACACTTTAAAAAAAGATACTTTTTGTTCAAGCAATGACTTCAATTTACTAATAAAGTGATAGTTGGAATATGATAAGAACAATAAAAGGAGGATTGGTTCAGCTTTTTTTTTATTAGGAGTCAACAAAAGAACTGTGTAGGTTAATATTCATTGTAGAAGATGTTAAAAGACCTATCAATAATATAAATATTCCAGATAATAGCACCAACTATTTCTTAACAATCGTGTTAATTTTAAAAGACATTATGTGTGTGTGTGTGTCAGAGAGGGTGGTATAAGCGTGTGGTTTTTGGTGGCAGTTTTACTGAATCCATAGGGCTACACAAGTGAAGTCTGTATTCTTGTGTATGGTCAGCGTGTACAGGGTTCACTAACTGACAACACATGAAATGGGGCTACACAAGTGAAGTCTGTATTCTTGTGTATGGTCAGCGTGTACAGGGTTCACTAACTGACAACACATGAAATGGGGCTACACAAGTGAAGTCTATATACTTGTGTATGGTCGGTGTGTGCAGGGTTCACTAACTGACAACACATGAAATGAACAGTAGAGGTACTTTATTATTAACAAAGATTATCTAACACTTTTCAAAGCAAGCATAGCCTTAACTTAATATAAGTGACAGTGTTGTAAAAAATTTATCTTTTACACACATTTCTTATTTACTACATAAAACAAATACATAACAACTCTTACAAACTACCTGTACTAACGAACAGCCCACACTGTTAACCATGTAGAAAAGTATGTAAATAAGAAAAGAACAAGTTAATAACGATATTACAAATAACCTTAATAGTTTTACATTTTATCAAGGAATACTTTTGGATAATTGAATGTGTAAATTTCTTTGTCATATAATCTTGTACTGTATATCTCTTAAAGAATTTCTTTATTCCATGAAAATAAACGTCCAGATTACACCTGCTAATTTTGATGATTCATTTGCTCTTTTACTGCCCAAGTGGATGTACAAGTGGAGCACAAGTTATTCCTCCAGAGTTGCGTAACTAACGTGTTATCTTCTGATCCCCCTTCACCCCAGTGGTACAGCGATATATCTGTAGTTTTATAATGCTAAAAACGGACTTTATTACCCTTGGTATTAGGTTGATATATTCTAGATGACTATGCTATAGATATTTACAGATGCCACTATACACACGTTATCCAACCTATATTTCTTTGTTTGTTTGAAGTTAAGCACAAAGCTACACAAAGGGCTATCTGTGCTCTGCCCACCACGGGTATCGAAACCCGGTTTCTAGCGTTGTAAGTCCGCAGGCATACCGCTGTGCTACTGGGGGGCTCTAACCTATATAAAATCCAGTGTGTGTCACGTCATGCTTTATTTTAAACTTAAATCGTTTCATTTTATACTTTCAGTACATACACTAACATGAATATTGGGTTATATTTTTCTTACTAAGCAACATGACACAAAAACCATTGTTGGAACGCATTTTATCAAAACGCACTGGCTTTTCTATATATTAGATATTGTTATTTAAGGAACCATTTCTTTTTTTCTTTTTTTTTCGCTAGCTTGACTCATTAAAAAGATGGTATGCGCGCACGCACGTGCGTGTCTGTCTCTCTGTGACCTCTATTTATAATATGAGGAGCCACTTCTTTTCTATGTGGTTTTTCGCTAGCTTGCCTCATTAAAAAAGATGCGTATGTGCGCACGCAGTTGGATAAGATAAGTAATACCCAGGAGCACACCATCAGGGTCCACTTAGCATAGGGGGAAAATCTTATGTTTCTAGGTTTTTTCCTCTTGATGCTATGGCGGTTGCATTTCTTTTCTATGTGGTTTTTACTAGCTTGCCTCATAAAAAGATGTGCATGCGTGCACGGACATGGATAAGTAATAACACCCATCTACACACCCTCAGGGTCCACTTAGTAAGAGTGCAAAATTTCAGATTTGTAGGTTCTTTCCTCTTGGAGGTATGGGGTCACAGACACGCAGATGCTCACCCACATAGCTACAGACAGACACGCACGTGTGTGTCTGTCTGTGTTTTCTATTTGTAAATAAGTGAAGCTTATACACTACTGGAGTATAATTTACAACGTGTCACACGTCAGATATTCTCTTTTTGACGGTTATGCATCTTGAAAAGAGCCATACAGCGTAGTTACAATTACAAAAGCCTCTATCGTGAGGCTGTTATATTAAGAGCACATTAACACTCCCTGTAGGCTTTCTACAAGCCACCTATTATACTAAGACGACTATTTCCCAGCACCGGTTTCAATATCGATTGCACGGAAATCCATTGGCGACTTGAATAGGATAAACACCTGTTTCATTCTCCAGCTGTTTGATGTATGCGATGGTTGAATAGATATGTTGTGGAAGCAGCTTGTGTGCGCATGACGTAGGTCGCTTTTTCAGACGAAGATTCTTTTTGATTTTTTGTGAACTATTGCATTGGACACTTGGACTACTTTTACTACTGATCTTTGTGTTCTTGGAGTTTCACATGCTATAAAACGCTTCACTTTGCTTACCACAGATGGAATATGACTTGTTCCATGTCTCTTTCTTGATGGTTCTAAGCCCAAAGTTGATCCATATTCCTTTATTTTTCAATGATACTAGGTAGAAGGGAAATCCCCCTCTTGGAAATTGTACGTTTGATCTGAGAGGAATAATATTTTGCGTCCAAAGAGCTGTTACATACCCTTCCCAAAAGTGATCAGTTTTCATTGCAATCATACTGCCTACCAAAGCCAAACAATATCAAAATGCATTTCTGATACGTGCCATCAACGCAAATTTATATCGACTGTGGTTATCCCATTACTTGATGATTTTCATATTAAAAATCGTTTTAATATAAAGCCTTAAACCCTTTGTCTAAGCCTATAAATCAAATCGTAATTTTTTAAGATCATTCTAGAAATTCCCCGATAATGCTCAAGAGTAAGCTCGTGGACTTGTATCCTAATAAACTTCTATTTTCTGATAAACGTATTTGCAGCAAATCCTAATTAATGAAATTATATTTCAGATTTATCTAAGGCATAATTAAAATGTTTTTATTATCATTACTTGTGATTATCTAAAAATATATTATTTCCGTGTGTTGGATTAGTCCTGTAAACCTCTTGAGAAGAACTTCGATGACATTAAACACACCACACTGAGTGAAAGAGTTGCATTGAAGGAAGCAGCGAGGTACGTTTCGCAAATATCGTTCTGCATCTTTTCAAATATTATTTAATATTGATATCTAATTTCATGGATTGAATTTTGTAATATGTTAGGACAGAAGTTATTTTTAAAGAATCCAAAATATTCTATATGATTTAATTTTCAAGTATAAGAGAAAAATGACGCATTTAAAATAATAAATTTTGGGATCAGTATTCTTCTAGATAAATTTTTGCAAGTTTAGAGGATAACATGTATGTGAAGATGTAAAAGATAACTACGTACAGAGCGTTTGTAGGAAGCAGTGAGAAATGGTTCCTTGGATCACTATTAAATAGTTTCTGATATTATTGGCGGTACTAGCATTTAATACCTTCTGTGATTTTTCCAATGTTTTCATTTTTTAAGTTTCTGAATCACGTTGTAATATACCATTTACATATGAACAAAAACCTAGATATAATAATCATTTTCTCTTACCTCAAGTAAATTAATTATTTATAACCTCTTACTATTCATAACTTTGTCTTTTTGATAATAACGAATACCATGATATTAATATTTTGAAGTACTTTATAAACAAATCACTGCAGGTGCTTGAAATGTGCAGACGCCCCCTGTCAGAAGAGTTGCCCGACTCAACTCGACGTTAAAAGCTTTATTAGCAGCATTTCCACAAAGGTAAGCCTCAGTTGAACTTTATTTGTTTGGTTTACGAATGTGAAATTTAATGTCATATAATGAGTAAAATACTGAATTTTGGAGCGGTTCTGTGATAAAAAATAAGATGTGAATAAAAATTTTAGAGAGAGGGAAGTTAATAGAAATGGGATGTTCAAAGAGATGCATTTAACATAAACCAAATGTTTTAGTGTTAGTTTTATAAATCAAGGATAAAATTAATAGCACAGGAGTAGCATGAGCTGTATTTGTTCTTAGAATTAACATACACTCTTTCAACGCTGAAATTTGGTATAAAAGTCAGTGTGTGTCACGTCACGCTTGATGTCTCGAAATAGGAGTCATAAAATCCAAAATGCTTTTATCCAGATAGAATAGTTTACTGTTTGACCATTACGATTTTAGTGACGGGGTGCAAGGGGACCGTCATGAAACCTTATAAGTGTAGTGAGTGTTGGGATCACCTAGCCTAGAGCCAACTACATCAAATTTATCATTAAATAAAAATATCGATTCAATTTTAAACTTAAATCTTTACCGAATTAAGCTCTTTTCTGTTATATCACTAACGTTATTAATAAAAAACAAACCTCTTTAGTCAACGGAGACTCTAAATTAAGAAATCAACAAATATTTTTCCAGATTTGTTGTCTATACATTTCATTTTATACTTTCAGTACATAGACTAACAACAATATTAGATTATACTGTTGTTGCTAAGCAACATGACATATAAGTCATTGTTGGAACGTAGTGTTACAAAAACGCACTGGCTTTTCTATGAATTAGAAGTTGTTAATTTGTTAAATTAACTGATTTTTACCAATAATTATTCTATGAATACGCAACTAATTATTTCCAGAATCATCTTAATTTTGATTGGCTCACAGAGGAAGTTACCGACGTTTTACTGTCTCTTCGTTGGCTAAGCTTGATTTCGAAAAATGTATTCATTTCAATTAGCTATGAAATGTGAGTTTAGGGTATACTATGGGTTGGGGTGGTAGTACTTGCCCCATCAGTTTTGACAGGCTATACCTAGTAGATATATATGTCTAGGCACCTTTTATAGTAAGTGTAAATACAACTGGTAAATTCGTATTTTCATACTGTCGTAGATATATATATATATATATCTTGACACCATTTTATAGTACGTATAAATACAACTGGTAAATTCGTATTTTCATGCTGTCGTATGGTTTTATAGTAGATTATATAACACTGTCAAATTACCAACTCTTTGTAATCTACAGAATTACTACGGAGCAGCGAAAGCCATATTCTCTGACAACCCCTTGGGTTTAACCTGTGGGATGGTCTGCCCGACTAGTGACCTCTGTGTTGGTGGCTGTAACTTGTACGCTTCAGAGGAGGGACCAATAAACATAAGCGGACTACAGCAATTCGCAACTGAGGTTTGATATACACAATTTTTTCATGATTCGGAAATAGTATGTACATACACACACACATATACACTTTTTCAGAATGTCTTATTACATTCCAAATTATGAATTTACTGGCTTACATAATTATAATAGTTTGTAGAAAACAGTTGTAGAGAGGACTAATTATAAAGACAACAAAACAAACTCGTAACGTCTAAGACAGTTGTTAATCTTGATAAAATAAACATTTCTGTAGATGAGATTTATCACTTTGTTTTCTGTGGTCCATCACTACGAGGAGAAAAGTCTACGCTGACAAGGTGGGAACTCAAGTGTAAATGTAAGAATTAATGTGTTTTATCTACCAATATGACATTAAATAAAAAATTAAGAATTAATGTGTTTTATTTACCAATATGACGTTAAATAAAAAATTAAGAATTAATGTGTTTTATCTACCAATATGACGCTAAATAAATAAATTAAGAATTAATGTGTTTTATCTACCAATATGACCCTAAATAAAAAAATTAAGAATTAATGTGTTTTATCTACCAATATGACGCTAAATAAAAAAATTAAGAATTAATGTGTTTCAACTCTTCATCTACCAATATGACGTTAAATAAACACTTATTTGAAGTCAGATAATTTTGCGATGTTTTATCACTATGGTCTTAATCGTACACAACTTTAGTAGTTATAAAAAAGGTTTAATTACAATTTCACAACATGCTTGATTTCCCACGTCTTTTAACACAATAGAAACAAGCTACTATTCAAAAACTGCATTGTTGCAGTCTATGTCAAAATGTTATCAGGTGATATCATGGCTATTGAATAACGTTTAGTTCTCTATGTTTATATTGAACTTAAAATTTAATAAAAAATAGAAAATAAATAAGTATTGTTTTTTTACCGAAATATTTACTTTGAAAAAAGTCATATATATTTATTACTTTAATACTTCTAATCATTCTAAGTTATTAACAGCAAATTGACGGTTGCTTTTTTATAATTTTATTTCTAAATTTCATTGCTAACTTATCAATACTCAAACAAAGGTAGTGTAGCTATAAATGAATAATTTTTCTTGTGATAAATGTTATCTTTTGAAAGTACTAATGCTTAAAAACATCTTTGTAGATTTTTAAATCTATGAAGATTCCTCAGATTCGTCCACCAGAAACTCCTTCTGTAGAAGAACTTCCCGAAAGTTACCATGCCCAGATAGCTCTAGTTGGTTGTGGACCGGCTAGTATCAGCTGTGCTACTTTTCTTGCACGATTAGGGTACTCTAACCTCACTGTACTTGAGAAGGAAGAATACTTCGGTGGTTTGAGGTTAGTATTATATTTAGGAGGAAAACTTCTGTAAAATTATTTGAGGAGGAAGACTCTAGTAAATGTAGTAAAATTTTGGGGATATTAAAACCTAACATTCACTACACGTTTCAGAAAAAGTTTCGATCATAAGGTTTCAAGAAGAAGAGCTTGAGAAACCTTCTAACATACACATGGAAAATGGTTTCCGAAAAATTGTTACTATTTGTGCAACCGTTTTGTAACAAGGATGATGTATTGTCACAAGATCTGAAATTCTTTCCTGAAATACGTTACTAGTCTATAAGCAGTGCTCAAACTCACTGACATGCTACCAATTATCAGAAACTAGACATTTTTAACATATATTGGATAACATGCCTAGTTTATGCTGAGCTTTAGACCATGGTAACTATGATAACATTCATGTAAGACAAAACACTGGTGGCTATAGTAACATTCTTGGAAAAAAAGACATTGATAACTGTAGTAACATGTTCGGTATTAATTCATTTTCAGCTCTTTTTTGTTAATATTTCCACATTTAATCTCGTTTGTCGAAAGCCTTGGCTAACTATATTTCAGGGACATTGATTATTGTATATCTATGGTTGGGATCCCCCCCTCTAATTTCTTGATATATTAGGCTTATAAACTTTGAAGTTATACAAGTCAAGATAAAAATCGCGACGTGTTTGAAAGACCAACTTTAAGGGAGTGGTTGACTTATTTCATTAGATTACACTAGGATATAATGCGACGTAAAGTGGCAACAATTTTCGTGCTTCGTTTTATAATTAGCTGATAACGTAGAAGCTTAAACGGGTGTATTGTATACACAATGCGTGTAGGTGTAGTAGCCCGTCTCCTCTTTAGCTCTGATAATTTGAGATATCTTTTCTAACGTGCTTCATAAAAGATTGTCGCCTAGTAACACCAATTCACCAGATTGTTGTTCGATTCTTTTCTTATGTGAAAATAAAAGCTTGTTTTTTATAGCTTAAATAAACTTTCGAAAAAAGACTGCAAGACGTGGAAAAATACTGAAATAAATACTGGCAAAACATAAAACACACATCTATAAAAATCATCGTTTTATTTGGTACCTTCTGTGCGTATGCCCTTCGTCAGGCTTACCTACTAAACAAGCCATTTGTTACAACAACTACGCTCGAGACGTGGCAAATTCAAGTTTTTGATAAAGACTTCGGTTTTAACGTCTTCCAGTATTTCTTTCAATATTTTTAGATATATTAGAGCTTTGGATTATCATTTGGCAAGTCATTAGAATCTTTGTTTTCTTCTTCTAGATGTACTAGAATATATTTCAAATTGAATCAACATAATTTGCATGAAAAACATACGATATATGTAGTAATGTAAACTTAATTTAATAGCCTGTTTGTATTAATCTAACTTTCACATTTTTATTTATATTATATGTACTGTATAATAATGGATTAGACACCTATACCTACTTCAACATCTCAAGCTGAAAGATGTTGTATTTACAAGAGGTAACAAATACACAGTAACCACGATAACGGCCAATAGCGAATAAACTTTAGAATTTTCGTAACGTTCCGTTCTTAGGTTGAAAATTGAAAAGCACAAAACATAACGGAACCGCAATGCATTTAAATATAAGAAAGCTGTTTCGAGTTTTATACAAAAAAGAAATTGTAAAGCTAGACAAATGTGCTAGGTCGAACAAATACGCTGGTGTGAGGGAAAGGTATTTAAATTAAGAAAAATGTCAAATGTGCTGAATGATGAGAATAAAGTTTGATTGGTACTCTTCTTATAGCTCTTCAGAAATTCCTCAGTATCGTCTTCCATATGAAGTAGTGAACTTTGAAGTAGATTTGATGAAGGACCTTGGAGTCAAGGTAGGCTACTTTTCAAAGCATAACTACAAAGGACCTTGAAGTCAAGGTATAATTTCTAAAGTACCTTGTAGTAAAGGTAAATGTTCAAATTTAGGCAATTTTACATGTATTAAATTAACAGTACTCTATTTTATAGGAAATCAGTATTAGGTTATATTTGGACCATGCTAACCAACGCTGTTACTGAAGAAGCACTCGAGCAGCATTTTATATATAGAATAGGAAAATTCAACATCAAAGTAATCAGAGTTTCTTGTTTTCATACGTAGATTGAATACGGCAAAGCATTAGGACGAGACTTCACTTTGAAGCAACTGAAGAACGAAGGATACAAAGCCGTGTTCGTTGGAATAGGTACAAATAAGAATAGATTTGAATAAATTCTAAAAAGTTTTATTATTCATATATACTAAGAGTTAAATACAACAACGGCCACAATTCGATGACGAGGAACTCACTTTGAGACTAATACTGGTTGGAGACGGCTTGAATCGGTAATGAAGAAAAACTTTAATATAAGTTTAACATAACAGCAAATGTACAACGTTTCGACAAGGTTTTGTCACAATGTTATTTGTTTTTCACTGATTTCTTGTGTTTTATTTCTTGAAAGCTGTGTCAAACTTCAAAGTGTATTTATATGTTATCTTTTATATACCTGGAGAACACAAAAACAACGTTCCTACGGATATTTTTATCTAAAATGTTATCATATAATGACACACTTCATGATGATATATGGAAAGAAAGCTTTGCGTTTTTTTATACCAGGCCTGTTTTTACGTTTCTTGACTACTTACTGTATCAAATAATTTCTGTAAGTGTATAAGGTTGTAATTTTCCAAAGTAGCCAGTCTCGTGAAAACCAGGCCTGTTTTTACGTTTCTTGACTACTCACTGTATCAGATAATTTCTGTAAGTGTATAAGGTTGTAATTTTCCAAAGTAGCCAGTCTCGTGAAAACCGTCTTTATTTTTATAATGAAGTTATTACAGATACTTACTTTTTAATATGTTTATTTTATTGACAAATGTAAATAAACGTAGGTTTAATATTGTGACATTTAATATTTTAGCCATCAGTAGCTGAACGTAAGTTTGAAGGCTTATGACACAAAAAATTGTTTTTAAATACAGCACAAATAGCTCATTATGTAGCTTTGTGTTTGTTTGTAGTTAAGCACAAAGCTACACAATGAGCTATCTGAGCTCTACCCACCAAGGGTATCGAAACCCGGTTTATAGTGTTGTAAGTCTGCAGACATATCGCTCTGCCACTGGGGGTGTAGCTTTGTACTTACCACCAAACAAATAATTCAGCTTTAAGCGAATTTATCGCGATCTAACGACACTCGAAATACTTATTTGTACGTTCTGCAGGATTACCACAACCAAAAATAATCCCTATCTTCGAAGGACTAACTGAAGGAGATGGCTTCTATACCTCTAAAGAGTTTCTTCCACTCGTTGCTAAAGCTAGTAAACCTGGTATGTTATTCTGTATTATTGAGAACAATAAAAATATTACATAAAACTAAGATTATTCGTTCTCAGACTTGTTTCTTTGTTATCCTTTATTTACTCAGTGATTATTTGATGATGTAGAATAATTTTCAAATCAGAATTAGATATGAAAACAGGAGTATTTTCAACCAAACTAAAAACAAATTACATTACAATTGATTATAAATACCTATCTTTGTTATTATTAATAAATTCGCCTCGCATGGCCAGGTGGCTAAGGCGCTCGACTCGCAGTCTGCGGGTCGCGGGTTCGAATCCCCGTCCCACCGTGGGGACCTTATAATGTGACGGTAAAAGAGTAGCCCAAGCGTTGGCGGTGGGTGGTAGATGACTAGCTGCCTTCCCTCTAGTCTTACACTGCTAAATTAAGGATGGCTAGCGCAGATAGCCCTCGTGTAGCTTTGCGCGAAATTAAAAAAAAATTAATAAATTCTGATAAACAGCATTGTGACGTAACAGTAAGTAGAATATATATATTTTTTAAATATCTTCTTAACTTTATTACTGTTTATTACCCAAAGGGATGTGCCAATGTAAGTCAGTCCTTCCCGTACTTTATGGTAACGTGATAGTCCTCGGAGCTGGAGACACTGCTTTCGACTGTGCTACTTCAGCTCTCAGATGTGGAGCAAAGCGAGTTTTTGTGGTCTTCAGAAAAGGTTTCACCAACATCCGGGCAGTTCCTGAAGAGGTGAGTTTGTAAAATTGATGCTATTGGGACCCAGGTGCTCACATTATACACAGTTGTAACTCATGACAAGTCTACCTCTATCAGGACCACCGCAACAATTTTTCAAATCCCAGCGTGGTCCCTTATATCTCTACACATTATATATCCTTGACATCCCTTTATATCTCTACACATTATATATCCCTGATATCCCTTTATATCTACACACCACTACCGTAACTTTACATGAAATAATCGGAAAGGTGGTTTTGTTTATCTGTTATAATTTAGTGTAATGTTTTAGTTACGTAACATTTGTAACGTTGAGCTATTTGTGTGTTGGGGGGGGGGGGCAATATTTTCTTGCCTTGGGGCTGCATCCGATAATTTTTAAAGACATAAGTTTTTAATCTCTACCAATATAACTTTTATAGTTTCTGTATTATAAATATTGGGCAAGTGGAGAAAGTTTCTTTGGAAAGGAATTTTCACATTGTTTTATTAATGCAATTAATGCACTACGGTTTGAGAAGCCCTAATTATATTTAGTTAAACATATCAGATAATTATTACTACAAGTTAACGACGCTAAACTTTTTAAATATAGGGTACTTTATTCAGATTTGGTTTTGTAAAAATATGATTAACTTTTATTTGAATAACATTTAAGTTTTGTACTGACTTCTTTTAATCAATTCGTATTATATGTCTGTTGTTAGTCATAAAGATCAATATATTTGCTTCTTAAAAGCCACCACCCCCAGTGGCACAGTGGTATATCTGCGGATTACAACGGTAGAATCCGGGTTTCGATACGCGTCGTAGGCAGAGCACATATAGCCCATTGTGTGACTTTGTGCTTAATTGTTTAACAATACAAGCAAGCTTCTTAAAATGACTTCATTGTTTCCACGAATCATCTGACTTTTTTAACCAATACCTGTGTACTTTTAACTGTTTGGACGTTCATGTTTACAGAGAGACTTTAGGCTTCTATAATTGTTTAGCACACGCACTTTAAAACATTTGCAGATGGAGCTGGCTAAAGAAGAGAAGTGCGAGTTCATACCGTTCCTCTCTCCAAGTAAAGTTATAAAAGGGAGTCGTATTACAGCAATGGAATTTCACAGGACTGTACAGATAGAAGACGGACAGTGGATAGTAGATGAAGACCAGCTGGTAAAGCTGAAGGCAGACTTTATTATCTCTGCTTTTGGTTCTTCGCTTCAAGATCCCAAAGGTAGATAACGCCAGCCGTAAGAAAGAGCGTAACACAGATATTTTATAATTAAAGAGAATGATTCTGAAGACAAATTAATTTATGTCTTTGAAGATTTTAAGATATTCTTCTGTACCTCAAACGTACATAAGTAAAAATAAAAAAAACAGCACTATGAGTTAAAAAACTTTCAACATCCTCTTTTTTTTTTCAAGAATTTAGTTTGATATTATAATTATATCTTGTGAACAGTAAGTAAAACTGTAAATGGTAATATAATTCCTAACGTTAGAACACAAATGACTAGTTTACTAGTTTTATATGAATGAAATTACTTTGAAGGAAATGTTACTTTCTTCCCAAGAATTAGCTTTTTATCTTGGGATATTGCGAAAAATAACCGTTATTTCTTTTATCATTTACAAATATCACACTGTGTACCACAGTCATTAGTGGACGATAATGACTTGAGCTCATTCTTTATGTGTTTTTCTATATTTTTAGCTTGTTGAACTATTTTACCAACATTTCGGTGCACGTGACTGTGGGTGATAACATAATTACGTTAGATAACAGTCAGTCTATGTACATTATTAATACTAATTTAGTAATCTAATACGTTTTCGCTTCTTGCTTTGTGATTGTTCATACAACCAATTTCAGATCAAGCTGAAATAAAACTAGTTTTTGTGCGATATTTAACCAAACGTCAGACAATTTGTACTTCAGCCTATCATTTGTTTTATTGTGTTTGTTGTACGTTGCTGATGTTCTGTATTTCAAAATACCAACAAATACCAATGAACAAATTATTTACCTAGTTACCAACACGTTTTAAGACTTGCTGAAGAAAAAACAAAGATAAACTTATTCATATTTACAGAAAAAGAGTTAATCTTGAATTGAAGACATGGACTATAAGTACATTAATTATAGATAAATAAATAAATATGATTAATATTAAAGCACCAAAATTATATTCAGGGAGATAAGAAATAATTTAAATATAATATAACTGAAAAAAAGCACTTACAAAAAACAATCAAAATTTAATGAGTTACAAAAAACATAAGTATTTTTTCTGTATTTAGTACAATTCTTGAAGCTTAGGAAGTTTCAAAATCGATCAATTTGTTTATCAATCAAAAATTGGAGATTCATAACTTGTTCCATATATTTAGCTATCGAGCTTTGAAGGCTAAAAGATTCATAACTTGATCAGTTTGTTTAGCTACCAAGCTTTGGAGCTTGTGAAATTCACTGACATGATCATTTTGTTTAGTCCGAGCATTGAAGCTTGTGAAGTCCATAACTTGATCAATTTGTTTGTGGTCCAAGCTTCGGAGTATGTGTTCGTTAACATGATACATTTATTATGTCAAGTCTTTGACAATTTTGAAATTCATTAATTCCATTAAAATTTAGTGTAGGTTGTGAGAGAACCTTCCAGGGAAGGTTGTACCTAATCATTTTGACGTGATTTTGCTGTTCTTAACCTATCCTCTGTTAACGACGCATGGAGACAGTAACCGATTGTATTGTCCAGGTAGAAGCCCTTACAGTCCTTAAAATCTCGATTCATTTTCCATAATATCCTCATTTATGATCGACACCTAACTGTTAATGAGTGTGGAATTTCAGAAATGAACCGGAAATATCTGCTATAGGTAATCACCTTTTGTTAACTACATATTCGTTTAGGAGGCTAATGCCCATGGCTGGCAGTTCAGATGTCTCAGCCAGAAGGAAGTTTGGATAAAATTCACTTCTAGTATCTATTCCACTATGAGTACTTAAGTCGTTTGGGACAAGATTTGAAAGGTCAAAAGGAAGCACGCCTCCTATCCTCTTTCAATCTTACAATTTGATGGTCAAGAGTTTACTGAGTCATAAGACTACTGTTAATACCATTGGAAAGTGTTTATCTCACAATTCCACCACATCCGACCCTTCCCCTGCATTTTTGGCCATCGAGACATGGGCTGAAAGAACACTGCTTTCTTTTGGGGCTGACCGTCTATATGGTGAAATTTAAAATTGTTCTAAACTGTCCTTGAAAAATGTCAGTCAGACCAGGTGACATTCATTAAGTTGACTGAAATGGGACTGACATTGGAAGTTTTTTTCATATAATCCCCACTTTTGGTCTTTCTTTGAGGCACTTGAAGAAATCAGATATGCCTGACTGGAATTAAACAGTTGTTGAGGCATCCTTCTGTTCTTATTTTTACAGGCACGAAATCAGACGAGTGTGTGTTGGCTCTGTCACGATTTGCTGTGGGTCTGTAGCTGTTCATGGGATCTCCTCTACATATTCTGTGTTCACTGCTAAGTTATATGTCATATCACATACTCTGGATAATATAAAAGCTAAACAACCAGTTGTACAATCTATACTGATACCCTTAACTCTTTGAAGACTGGAATTGCTTAATGTTAGTTCTCACCAAAGTCTTTTGGACTTTCAGAATAGCTTTGCCCAGTTTTTCTTACCATCCATTTCAATTAAGTCCTTCTGGATTCCTGATTATATTGGAAGCCCAGAGAACAAGTTTACTGACACGGTGGCAAAATCAATCTGCAATGGTGACGTAATAATCTTGCCTATCCGATATTTGGATTTCAAGTCATTATCGGAGCAAGGCTTAACGTCTGGTAGCAGACGATTTAGGTGTGAGCAACGTCACATCTAGATTTTCCAGATGAAATATACCAATAGCAATTGGCTGTTTATTATGCCCCAAGAATTAGAGGGAGAAAGCTGTCATGGTAAGGCTTTGCATTGGCCTCTATTATTCATTGTTATCTTTTAAAAGGTAGCAATCCATCAATGTATGAGCATTGTGGCACGCAAGTGATAATTTTCCAGTTTTACTCCCATGCTGTTGTTACAATGGTGAACGAAAGAACATTTTTAGACATAGTTTATATTGTAGTCTACCTTTAACGTTGGACAGTGTCATTAGCAAAGATCAAACTGTCGAGAATGATCATGCTTTTTACAGACCATTAACCTTTTCAACTTATTTTATTTTTTCCCGATTATCAAGGATAAAGAAAAAAGGTTATTTTATATCTTTAATTTTATATTAGTTTTTACAGCTGCTTTTCTTCTCATGCTCTAAATTATTAACATTGTTTGACACAGATAACACACATGGCCTTTCGCCATTAAAATCCAACAATTTCTTTAGTAATATCAGCTTTGGAGATTTTGAAGTTAATCAACATGATCAGTTATTTAATTATTTTAACATCTGAGCCTGGTGGCAGCGCTGTTAACTAATATGATCAACTTGTATATTCTTTCAATTCTTTGAGACTGTGATGCTCAATGTCGTCATAAATTTGTTTAGTTATCCAAGCCTTGGAGCCTGTGAAATTCACTAAGTTTGGGTTACCCGAGATTGATAGGAAGACAATGCAGAGTAATGAAAAATGGGTGTTCTTTGGAGGAGACTTGGCTGGAGTAGCAGAAACTACTGTGGAATCAGTGAATGATGGAAAGACTGCGGCTTGGTACATTCATGAATTTCTCCAGGTAACTTTTGTGATAGTCAATAGTAAGGTGACAATATTTAATGTAACAAAAGATTAATACACCTCTTATTATCTATAAGTACTGCACAGAAAGTATTAAGATACTGTAAAGTTGGTTTACTCCAATATTTTATGGCATTTAATTAATAGAAGAAATACAGCATTTAAACAAAAAATTTGTTATTATTGCAAATATATATATATACATAAATATATATATACACTATGTTATCTGTTTCGGCCATATTTGTTCAAGCCAATGAAAAGATCGATGGTCTAATGATGCCTGGATAAAATGTGGTCAAAACATATGACAAAATATACTTGTTTGAGCAATAAAGAATAATTTTGGTTTACACATTGTATCACCTATCTTAATACTCGTATAGTGGCTGCCTACTTGTAAGTACTTGCAGTTCAGCAGTGAAATGAGATCAAACAGGGCTTGACGTTACTATCCTGGCTTCCTGCTAATAAATAATACTTGTCCAGGAGCGTAATAAAACCAAAAGGGGATTGATGCTCGTATAGTGGCTTCCTACTTGTAAGTACTTGCAGTTCAGCAATGAAATGAGATCAAACAGGGCTTGACGTTACTATCCTGGCTTCCTGCTGGTAAATAATACTTGTCCAGGAGCGTAATAAAACCAAAATGGGATTGATGCTCGTATAGTGGCTTCCTACTTGTAAGTACTTGCAGTTCAGCAATGAAATGAGATCAAACAGGGCTTGACGTTCCTATCCTGGTTTTTCTGCTTCAAAGCACTAGCTTTCCAGCTTGTCCTGATACTTAAATAAAACTTACAGACCAATTCATTATTTTCACATACATTCTAGTAATGGTATGTTGAAACAAATTCAGTGATTATGACGCAGTAAAAGTAAAAAGAAAAATACTTGTACAACACAGATAACGTGCAACTGCCACAGATGAAGTGTAACACAACCCAATATATAGATTAAAACGAAGTTATTTGACAGGAGATATGGACAAAAGTATGTTTTCTTAAAGGTCTTTAAATAATAAAATGTAGATTTTCGAATAGATTAAGCATTATTTTTTGACAGTATATATATATCAAGATACACGGTTTGATAAGTTAAACAAGTTAACTCATTTTTTCCTTCTTATTTTCTTTCAGAGGCTTCATGGATTGCCAGTGCCGAAGGAACAATACTTACCCCAATTCTATACTCCTATTGATATGGTGGATATCAGTGTTGAGATGTGTGGTCTTAAATTCAAAAATCCTTTTGGTCTTGCCAGTGCTCCACCAACAACCAGCAGTCCCATGATTCGTAGGGCATTTGAAGAAGGATGGGCATTTGCCCTAACAAAAACGTTTGCTTTGGATAAGGTATTATATAATAATATTTGAAATACTTACTTTCTAAAAGAACTATTTAATAATATAGAAAGTACTCATTGTATAAAAGTATTATTAAGTACTATAACAAATATTCACTTTGATTAACGTATTATTGGCCCGGCATGGCCAGGTGGTTAAGGCACTCGACTCGCAATCTGAGGGTCGCGGGTTCGAATCCCTGTCACACCAAACACGCTCGCCATTTCAGTCGTGGGGGCGTTATAATGTGACGGTCAATCTCACTATTCGTTGGTAAAAGAGTAGCCCAAGAGTTGCTGGTGTGGACTCGCTGCTTTTCCTCTAGTCCATCACCTCTATATTAGGGATGGCAAGCGTATATAGCACTTAAGTAGTTTTATGCGAAGTTAAACCAAGAAACAACTTAAAAGTATTGTTCAATAATGTTACATCAATTTTTCTTTATATCATTGAATTGTATGAAGCATTTAAAGAAGCTGCTCTGCATGTCTAAGATAGAATACATATTACCAGAACAGCTTATCCAAGCGTTTATATCCAAATCACTTGAACACAAACATGTAGTAGCCGTTGTTTTCCAAACTTTCGCAATTACATTGCCATATTTAGGTCAGAGCTATTTATGTAATTTATAATATTTATTGTGTTATCAACTCTCCAGTATATAGAGCAGGTATAATGAACTTTTTTAGGCTTCATGTAATCTATCACCCCTCAAATGCCTCATATGTTCACACACACATGAACATACAGATATAATATATATTTTGTTTGTTTGTTGTTAAGCAAAAAAATACTCAATGGGCTATCTATGTTGTGCCCACCGCGTTTATCGAAACCCAGTTTTTAACGTTATGAACCTACAAGCTTGCTAGTGAGCCATTGGAGGTCGTAACATATAATTGTCAGTCTATTTGTTTCAGCGCAATGACACACAATGGGCCACATTATAAGCCATGAGTGTTATCACTGAGTTATTGGAGGACATAACATATAAGATTATGCCTCTTGTTCATGCACTATATCCCACCGTTTTGTGTATCGCACAGCTATGTAATACAGCCTGAATAGGTAGTTTCACCTGCCTAAATTCTATGTCCGCTTTGATTTTTTCTCTGGTTTATAAAACTGGATTTATAGTTTTAAATTTAAAATATTATAAAAAGTAGATAAACTAATCCGTTATATAACGTTTGACTCCAATGGGTGCCCGAAACTAGTTGAAATATCCTATTATAGAAGAACCATGTGTTACATACGCTACGCTTTTATGGCTGAGGAATAGAATGAAAATACGGTTTATTTAACTAAGTTTTGTTAGCTAAATATGAATAATGTTTTAAATAATTCAATTTATATTAATGCAAGAAGAATACTATAACAGCGAGAAACTTGCAAAACTCAGATACAAACATTTCAGTGAAATTATACTTTTTATTCCACGGTGGTTGTTTGTAAATATATCGTACTGTTTGTGGTTAATATTGTGATTGTTTGTAAATATATCGTACTGTTTGTGGTTAATATTGTGATTGTTTGTAAATACATGCCTCTGTTTGTGGTTAATATAATGATTGTATGTAAATACATGCCTCTGTTTGTGGTTAATATTGTGATTGTATGTAAATACATGCCTCTGTTTGTGGTTAATATTGTGATTGTATGTAAATACATGCCTCTGTTTGTGGTTAATATTGTGATTGTATGTAAATACATGCCTCTGTTTATGGTTAATATTGTGATTGTATGTAAATACGTGCTTCTGTTTGTGGTTAATATTGTGATTGTATGTAAATACATGCCTCTGTTTGTGGTTAATATTGTGATTGTATGTAAATACATGCCTCTGCTTGTGGTTAATATTGTGATTTTATGTAAATACATGCCTCTGTTTATGGTTAATATTGTGACTGTATGTAAATACATGCCTCTGTTTGTGGTTAATATTGTGATTGTGTGTAAATACATATCTCCGTTTGTGGTTAACACTGCGATTGTATGTAAATACGATTTCGTTTGTGGATAGTATTGTGACTCAATGTAAGTACATGTCTCTGCAGCATTGACTATTAGTTACTGATGTTTGTTGTTGGAAGGTAACTGAAGCATCCCGACTATTAGTTACTGATGTTTGTTGTTGGAAGGTAACTGAAGCATCACGACTACTAGTTACTGATGTTTGTTGTTGGAAGGTTACTGCAGCATCACGACTATTAGTTTCTGATGTTTGTTGTTGGAAGGTAACTGAAGCATACCGACTACTAGTTACTGATGTTTGTTGTTGGAAGGTAACTGCAGCATCACGACTACTAGTTACTGATGTTTGTTGTTGGAAGGTAACTGCAGCATCCATACTATTAGTTACTGATGTTTGTTGTT